ATTTATGTTGATTGCTTATTTAGTATTCTGTGACTATCACTGAATGTTGTATCTTATGATTTATTTTATGGTTGGAACACTTGGCCAATAAAGAATTCTCTCAAGAAAGAATTATATTGGCTCCTTGTTGACAAGGTATCTGAAGCTGAAGCTCTAATACTTTGGCCACCTGATGAGAAGAAAGGACTTATTGGAAAAGACCTTGATGTTGAGAAAGATGGAAGGCAAAAGGAGAAGGGGATGGCATACGATGAGGTGGTTAGATAGCCTCATTGATGCAATGAACATGAATTTGGGGAAACTCGGGGGGGGGAGTGGAGGATGGAGGGGGGGAGGCTGGCATACTATAATCCAGGGAGTAATGAGGAATCAAACACAATTTAGTGACTGAACAACAAGGACAGGGTCTAAAGTAATGAATAAGACATTGTCCTGCCTAATGAACAGGTTCTTTTGGGCCTGCAACCTCAAATGAAATATAGTGCTTTCTATGATGAATGATCATCAGATCATTCTATGTATCTTGTGCTGTATCTTGTGCTTCAGTGTGCAGCCAGGAAGTACCAGTGGCCTTGGAGGAGGCCAACCCTTGGAAGAAACTGGTGTGTTCCCTCATTAAGAAGTTTGTCACAATGTGACTGGGTTTTTTTAGAGGTGGAGGTATATTTTGGTTTACAAGGATGAAATGGACATAGAGAAACAAGATAAGACAGGTGTTTGGGCTTTTTTATTTTGTTTTTCTATATACATTTATCTACAGTAAGAATTTGCAACAGGTTTTTTGTAAAAAGAGCCATGGTTGCGCAGTGATTAGAATGTAGTGTTGCAGGCTAAATCTGCCCTCAGTCTGGAGTTACATCCTGACCAGCTCAAGATTGAGTCAGTCTTCCATCCTTCGGAGGTGGGTAAAATGAGGACCCAGATTGTTGGGAGCAATATGCTGACTGTAAACTGCTTAGAGAGAGCTGTAAAGCACTATGAAGTGGTATATAAATGTTAAGTGCTATTGTTATTGCTATTGTACCATACAATCAAGGCTTCTAGCCTGGTGTCAGGTTTCACTCCCTCCTTCTCACCAGTTTCTGGATTTATTAAGAGAGTAAAAAGAAAGGAATGTGTTGAATATATGAGTAGTCACCTAAATATGGATTGTTTGCTTTTTTCCCATCATCTTAACTAAACTATCTGCATTTCCTTCATTTGGGAAATAACTTTTCTCCAAATCTTCTGTCCAGTTCTTCCTTCCTCAGAAACCAAGTCTTCTCCATCAGCAATTTTTTGCTTTCCAGTCTTGGGTCCTGCATGAAGCCAGCTGTTTCCCTCCTTCCCATCTTGGTTGTTGAATGAAAATATAATCTCCCTGGGACTTCATTTCCCTTTTTCCAAAGAAGCCATTCGTGGACTTTAATTTTCCCACTCTGACCAACTGAAGTGAGAAAAGGTGGAAGAATCATTTTAGAGATTTATATGACTCTGATATCTTGAAATGATAATAAAAGTCTAAAGCACAGGTGTCAAACTTGACGTGTCATGTTGCATCACATGGTGTTTCACAAGATTTTTCTTCTTCGCGGAACTGGGGTGGGCATCGCCTGCCCATGATGCATCCAGCCTGCAGGCCACCAATTTGACACCCCTGGTCTAAAGTCTAAAAAAGAATTAAAAAAGAAAAAGTCATAAATACATGTCTGGTGAGAATGTTGAAAAACAGTAAAATTGCAGATATAGATGGTCTAATTGGAAAAGTGTTAAAATATGGGTATGGTTTGCTTACACAGTAGCTCTGTTTCTTATTTAATGTGTTTGTGAAGCTCCATGTGTGCTTGTAATTTGGAAGAATGCATTACTGTCTCCCTATAAAAAGGAAATTTAGAAAGTGAAAGGCAAAATAAAGCGTAAAGCGTGAGTGTGAAGATGTCAGGTGGAATTTTGATTGAAAGAATACTAAAAGCTATAGTGTTCAAGATTTAGGAAGTAGATTGGGTCTTTTGCTAGCCAGACTGGATTTTTGTTTTGTGGGATTTTTAAAAATGTGTGAATGTTATTGCATGCTTGTAGATTTAGAGGAAATATGATAAAATATATAGGCATGAGTTATGACATATTTCTCATGAGTATGCAGTTGAAGGTCATCAATCAATCCAATCTGAGGGATTTATGATGGGAGGGCTTTTTCCCAGCTTCATGGTTTTTTGTTTTTGTTTTGGTATTCATGATTTTTCTGGAACAGAAAGTGCTGGCAACAATGACTCATGATCATGCCATGTCATGGATTAACTACTCTAAAGCACTCTTCAAGTAGGGCTTTTCTTAACAACCTTCCAGAAGTAGCACCTCTAATGAAGGATATGGCTATCCATGTGCTAGTCAGAACTGCCTCTTATTGCCACAAAGCTCTAATATTGTGATAATTGCATTGACCGCCAGCTGTTTTTTGGATGCATATCAAGGTGTAGCTTGGAGACAAGTTATTTGAAGATTGCTTATCCCAGCTAAAACGTGCCCATCTAAGCCATGTCTGTAGAAAGGGCCTGCTGAAAGTCCTTGGAAGTAATGGATGGGCCATTTTGAGTTGTAAACACATGGTATGTGAACATGAATAGGATATTAGACGGTTAATATTTTTTTTTTTTAAATGTGACTATTTTATGTAATGTTGTATATACACAGGTGAATGCATCAGATCAAATTATGTTTCAGTGAATCAGAATTTATTTGAAAGAAAATTTTGTATCCAAAAAATTAGTCAAAAGTGTAAAGCTTAACCGTGATTGGATGTTTCAGCAAGACAGTGATCTGAAACATTCATTTAGATCAACCATAAAAGAAAGATGAATGCTTTGTAATGGCATTCGTAGTCCTCAGACTTGAATAAGATTGAAGATATGCGATGCATACAATGATACCTACAGATATTTCTGAACTAAAAGAATTCTGAAAGGAAGGGGGAGGAGTTCAAAAGCAAGAGTAGAAATAGTGAAATAACTACATAAATAGAATGAAAATTAACTATAAAAATGTTTGGGAGCTTTTTTTTTTAATGTTACAAAAGTGTTCAAACTTTTCCGCCTACCAAACTCACTGTTCTTATTTTGAATTTGTAAACAACTTGACATTCAGAATTGCAGAGAATTGTTTAACTTTTTACCATATAAAGATTGTGGCAATTTTTGGTCACTTAAGGAGTCACTCTATGTTGGAAATGCTGGCTTAATGTTGAAGGAAATAGTAGAAGACTGATGAGAAAAGGGAATGAGAAAAAGAAATAATAGAAAACTGATGAGAAGAGGGAATGAGATGTAATCCTCCAGAATAGGAGGATTTTTCTGTATGTTATGGCACACTTTATTTACTAGTAGCAGTTTTATTCACTGAGTGCTAATGCTTATTTAATCAGATTGGGCACCATCAATATATGTCAGATAGTGGTTAATATGTTGGAATAGCTACCAGGAAGATCCAGTTTCAATTCCAGCCTCATCCATGAAATGAACTAAGAGACTTTGACAAATGAGTGACCCGGCCTACCTTACATAATTGATATGTGGAGAGATGTCCTAGTTATAGGACAGAATCTGATCCCACATTTGGCTCTTAGAGGAAAGGGGGTACGTAAATGTATTGAATGAATTCTAAACCTAGCTATTATTATTTTTTGCAACATTTTTATTAAAATATACAGGAGCTTGAATGGGATTTGCACTGTATGATACTCTCGGGTTTCTTTCAGAGAAGCTTTTTGTGCTTCAGAAATGACACTGTTCTCATCATGACAGAGAAATGATTATGGTTGTTTCACCCTGTAACCTTGACCTAGCATTTTCAATGCCAGAAGAGATTTCTGCTTTTTAGAATCAGATCTGTTGGAAAAAAAGGTTGCCTTGGTTTTATGGAGTGCCAAAATGCAGTGATTTCATGGAAATACGAATCAAACCACCTCCACTGTTCTAGTTTGTCCTGATTAATTTAGTTTTATAGTCTCGAAGGTTTCTTTGTTGTTGCTTTAATGAAAAAAGCTTATATACCTGTTCTGCTATTATTCTGAACAAAATATTGTGGATATAGTAAGAGAAATGTGTGCTGCTTTCATTGGTTTTGCAAGAACCTAAAAAGTAAAAAAAATGAAAATGAAAATATGACTGCCCTAGTGCTGCAATATCTGAATGATAAAAGGAAACCAGTTTTTATTATTGTAGATGTAAATCTGTTAATATTAAACTAAGCTTTCTGATTTAAAGAGGAAAGGCAATGCCCTTGACTCATGGTTTCCTAGCACTAAAGTTTGGAAGGCTTGAATAAAAGAAAATTGATATATCTAATATCCACTGTAGTATTTTTACTAAAGGCTGTTGTCAGTAACTGTCAAGAAGACATTACAGAGATCTGTCTGGCTCTCCTAAATTGCATGTGATTTCATAAAGTTAACAGAATTTGCGTTATTTCAGAACAACAACACATACTTGGAGGTTTTTTAAAAAAAATCCCAAAATTTACATTAGATTGTAAATAATAATCCTACACGGTTATAAAATTATGAGATTACATACACAATATAGGTAGTCCTTGATTTATGACCTCAATTGAGTCCCACATTTCTGTTGTTAAGCAAGACATTTGTTAAGTGCATTATGCCCCATTTTACAACATTTTACCACAGTTGTTAAGTGAATTACTGCAGTTGTTAAATTAATAACACAACTGTTAAGTAAATATGGCTTCCCTTTGGCTTTCCTTTCCAGAAGGTTGCAAAAGGGGATACCACAATTATCATTAATCTGAACCAGTTGCCAAGTGTCCAAATTTTGATCACATGACCTTGGGGATGGTACAATGGTCACAAGCATAAAAACAATCAAAAGTCACCTTTTTCGGTGCTGTTGTAACTTTGAACAGTTACTAAATGAACTGTCGAGGACTAGCTATATAATTAAGTTGGCATGTTCTTCACTATACCCACTAATTAATTTATATTTTTGTTTGTGTGCTTGTGTGTCTTTCAGGCAGAAAATTCCGCACTTGCTATGGAAAATAAAAATCAGAGAGAGCAGTATGAAAGATGTCTTGATGAGGTGAGATGGATGGAATGTTGGTATTCTACTCTGGTTAAATGTCTCCTTCTCCCTCCCATAACAAAGCTTTCTGGCTTGCTTCTGTTGTCTTTTAATTCTCAATCTCAAGTTTTTTGTTATTATTTGTATTGATTTATTTAAAATATTTATATACTGTAGCTGGCCATCTTTCAGACAACCATTCTATTATTGTAGAATGCTATATGTCTGAATCATAAATTAATTCACATAGTTTCATTTTACTTATTAGCAAATTTCTTAGGTTAACAAGAATTATTGCAAAGTAGCCATCATAGGTAGTTTGATTTGCACACAGATTTTGCTGTATTATTTTTTTCAAGTAACAAAAGTTCTTCTACCTCAAATCTTCAGGAATCAAGGCCAACATTATGGTCTCTACTAATTAAAAATTGGAGGTCTTTGTCTATCCATGATCTAAAGAATATGAAGTAATGACACTCCTGCCTTAGAATTGTAAAATCATGGGTTTGGGAGGGATTCTTGGGTCTTCTGATCCAATCTACTGCCCAGTACAGGCTTCTTTGGACTATCCCAGACAAATGGCACTCCTAGTTTTGTTTGAAAACCTCTAGGCACGATTAAGGAGGAATTTCATTATACCTCCTGGAGTCGCTGCTCCGTGCCCAGTGGTGGGCTGCTGCTGGTTCGGACCAGTTTGGGCAAACTGGTAGTTGCAACTTGTGGATGGGCCTGCCCACCCGACCCGGCACTATGTTCTCCTATTTAGCCTTGTTTTTGATACTGCACACGTGCACAAGGCACACACATGAGCAAAGTGCATGCACAGAAGGCTGGGCACAGATGACACGCATGCACATTTTTTGTGCTGCGCAAGCCAGTTGTTAATTCATGTGCCACCCACCTCTGTCTGTGCCTATAGGTTTTCAAACGAAGCTTGGAAAGCCATTTGTCTGGGATGGTCCAAGGAAGCCTGGCAACTGAAAAGGTTAAAAAATCATAGGAGATTAGCAGTTTTGCAGTAAATAGAGGAGATTATGGTAGCCAGATAAAATGATCAAATATATATTTTTCCTGGTGGCCTTGGGGAAAAAATAGAATTATTCAGAAATGTTATTAACAAAGAAAAGTTGGATATTGTTTGGTAAGTGGTATAGTTTGGAAAGGATATAGTGGTAAACAAATCGCCATAGAACTTTTTACCAGATAATGGTAAAGATCATTATGAGGACCCCATTTTAGAGGAGTGTAACAAACAAGCCAAATGAAAAATTGAACTTTTGATCTTCACATGTTCTGACCTAGGCTTCCTGAGACAGTAAAAAGCACATACTTAGTCCCCCAAACCCTCTTTTTTTTTTCAACAGCTGTGAATTATGTTCATTGACAGCCCATAATGAATCACAAATAGTTTGTAAAGAGTCAAACAGAAGTCTGCCAAAGTCTTTCGGGATAAGACTGATAAGCACCCACCTTTATCTTCCTTGAAACACTGCTAAAGACCTAATTGCCAATTAGCTTTGCAAGGCCACACAGAGCACAGAGTCAAAATGGAGCTTCAGACTTTAAACTGACCAGAACGACCAGAAGTTGCTTCCTGCAAAGGCTCATGTGCCTTTCCTCCTCCTCCCATATGTCTTATGGGAGAGGCCAATTATCTTCCAGCTTACTTACTTCCGAGTTGCCCCTTTTGTCCTAAGTGTTCTTGCCTTCTGACAGTTCTGCGCCTGTGTGCACTGGCAACAAGCTCCCCCTGTTCCTCTGCCTTGCTGATGTCCAATTCTGGAAGCTCCGGAGGCAGCACATAACTCCCAGATAGCCCTGCCTCCCTCTCTGCCTCCAACGCAGAGCCCTCGTCCAAGCCTTCCTTAGACTCCAGGACATTAACTTTAAGACTGGTTATGTTACCTGCATGTCTAAGAATATTATTGCCCAAGCTAAGCTCTTTGACTGCACTGTAGATGGAAAGGAATATGTTTTTTAAACCCTTGTTATATATGTTAAAATTAGGTCTTGCCTAAAGAGTATAAGGCAAACTTGGATACGACACGCGCTGGCCATGCCTGCCCCCCGTTTTAGCAAAGGGGCGAAAAGTTACAATACTTCATGTGACGAAATGTGGCACCATGAGTTTAACATCCCTCGTATAATGGAACTAGAGGTCAAATGCTGGACAGCCCTTGACATGAAGGAAAGAAGTAAGAGGGAAGAAGACACAACCAAAGATTGTGGGACCTGAGATAAGAAATAAGAAAGGAAAGATCAGATTTGTCTTTTTTTCAGAATCGCTGGCTAGATCCCATTGTGGGTAAAAAAGGAGTATTATATTTATTCACCACCTTGAGTTTCTTATAAAGTAAGAAAGGCAGAATAAAAAGCTAATAAATAAAATTATTATTTTTTAAAAAAGGACTAACATTTTTTTTAAAGTTATCCCCGGAAACAATTGCTTTCAAATTAGTTGTAAATCTCTACTATTTCCTCCAAGGAAAAATACATAATGTACTTGAATTCAACTATAGTGTAAACAGCACTTAACTTGTTTTACTTTATAATGAGTTTTATTTATTTACTAGACAACCCTTGACCTTTTGGGTCGTTGCTTCAGAGATATTTTCTGAGCTAAAAAGAAAATAGAATTATCACAGACACGGCTGAAAATCAGTGGGAGCAGCAATGACTTCCTGTTGGCTTTCCCATTTAATTTCTTGTGGGAAGCTGACAGCATCAGAACTTTCCTTCGTTATTGTCTTCTTTCCTTCTCGCCCCTCCCCCAATTCTCTGTCAATAATAGAGAAATAAACAAGCAGCTCAAATACAGGAAATTACCATGAAAAAATAAAAAGTTTTGATTTTTATTTTAAGGTATTAACAACCTGTCACATACTACAAAATACTTTGTGATATTTGTAATAATGTATTTGTTGGCATATATATTGTCTAATGCAGGGGTAGTCAACCTTTTTATACCTACCGCCCACTTTTGTATCTCTGTTAGTAGTAAAATTTTTTGTCCGCCCACCGGGCCCACAGAAATGGTGATTTATAAAGTAGGGAAGTAACTTTACTTTATAAAATTTATAAAGTAGACTTACAGCAAACACCTACTGCCCACCCTGAAAGCTGGAACGCCCA